GGGGGGGGGGGGGGGGGGGGGGGGGCGAAGTCAGGCCAGGCTGGCTTAAGCAGAAAACAACAAGGGCCAATTCGCTTCGCAGACTCCCACAAAACACCGCACCGGATGCGGTATGTCGTGAACTCGAATCACCGACCGGCGGAGTGAAGGAGAAGCAGACTTGGCAGAAATTATATCAAGTCTAGGCGGATGACGGAGCAACGTCGGGGGGCGTGCTCCAAGACACAGCAGTCAGAGGAGGGGTCTGGTCGATCTCGAGACCACACTCGTCAACAAGGGAAGCATCTCCCACTGCCCGCTTCACCAAAAACACCCGGCACACTTGCTTCTATTACAGACCCAGGACAAGCATGGACCACACACAATCCGCGGCATCATCGTGGAACGCTCCCCCGGCTGCGCCGCCCCCGTCCCCATCCCGGCGGTTACTCCGCTTCCAAACGTACGACCTTGGCGCACCGGCGGCGAGACGCTGCCTGCCGCGGCGCCGTCTCATTGCCTGTCAGTAAACCGGCAGCTAACCCCCTCCCGTGTACCCACACATCATACGAACCCAATACATGCACACCCTGCAAAACGGCATCCACCCACCTTGGCCTTATGCGACGATGCCGCCGCCCCGCCTCCGTTCGCGACCGCCCCCCCGGCCCCCGCCGCGCCGTTCTCCCGCCCCTCCGCAGCAGACTCCCGCCTAACCTTCACCTTGGATGACCCTCCGGACGAGCTCTTCTTGCGCTTGCGGCCGGACGTGCCGCGGTCGTCCCCACCGTGATCACCGCCGCCGCCGCCGTCGCGGTCCTTCTTGCGCCCTCCCCGGCCATGCTTGTCCGCGGCCCTCATCTTGGCCTGTTTCCGAGCGAGCCAGCGTTACGTTAGCAAAGAGTGCCGAGGACTGAAAAACATGCGTTTTCTTTTGGAGAGAGAGAGAGAGAGAGAGAGAGAGAGAGAGAGAGAGAGACGTGGGCACAAGCCTGGTCGAGGCTCTCCCACCCTGAAGTGTATCCGCATCGCTTTCGAGAGATCAAAACGGGCTTTGTTGTCGTGAGACGTGGGATAACAATGGTACGTATGCCTCTTGATTCCACACACGGGTCAACGCGTGAACCACCAAAAGTGGCGAGCGCTAAAACCCAAAACCTTGGTGCGTGGAGAGGGTGTAACACTTTCATACCTGTGAGAACATATTATGCCCCAAACCCAACCGAGAAATCAGCAACACACAATGCTCGCACTTTCCTCCTCAAGCCCAACCTCACGGTGGCACAGTTCTGTCGACCCTCCTATTAAAAAAAAAAAACTGGTGTCGCTTTGAGCGGATGAGCTAGCGTTTTCCCCCTTAATACTACTACTATTCATTGTCGGTCCCCCCCCCTCCCCTCAGACTG